TGTGATTCACTCTCTCTACCATTAAAAATCCTCTAATAATTGATTTTGACAGCTTCAAAGGAGTCCATTGTATGGATTCCTATCTTTATTTAACTAATCCTTCTATGCTGAAATTATGAAAAATAAATATTTATGCATCTCTCTACTGCCTTACAATAAATCTGAAGACAAGAAATATAAAGATCAAGGGGCTGGAGAGATGGCTCAGTGGTTAAGAGCATCGACTGCTCTTGCAGTTGACCCAGGTTCGATTCCCAGCACCCACATGGTGGCTACGAACCGTCCTTAACTCCAGTTCCAGGGGAATCTGAAGCCCTTTTCTGACCTCCGTGGCATTGCACGACACGGGTGCACTCACATACATGCAGGCAACACACTCATACACATAAGATAAAAATAATAAATAAAATATTTTTAAAAAGAAATATACAGATCAAATGAACAATCATTTTTAATTTTTATTTTATGTTTATGAGTATTATGCCTGCATGTATGTAAGGCACTCGTGTCATGCAGTGCCCACGGATGACAGAAGAGGGCATCGGATCCCCTGGAACTGGAGTTACAGATAGTTGTTAGCTGCCATGTGGGTGATCGGATTTGAACCTGGGTCTTCTGCAAGAGCAGCAAGTGCTCTTAACCACTGAGCCATCTCTCTAGCCCCATGAACAAGCATTTTAAGTTATCAAATGTTTATCCAAAAGCATATATGTTAATTTATCTTCCCATGAAAGGTAGGGAAACATAAGGAACATGTGTATGGTGTGTGTGTGTGTGTGTGTGTGTGTGTGTGTGTGTGTGTGTGTTTGCACATCCTTGCATATCCATGCAAAGACCACAGACTGACATCAAGCATCTTCCTCTGTTGCTTTCTACCATATTTCTGAGCCGAGGTATCTCTTACTGAACCTGGGGATCACTGTTTTGGCTTTAATTGCTGGCCAAGCTTCAGGGATCCACCTGTGTCCATCCCCCGGCACTGAGGTTACAGATGTGTACAGCTACAGCCACACTTGGCTCTTCATGTGGGTGATAGGGATTCAAACCTCAGGTCCTCATGCTTTTACAGCAAATACTTTACCCACTGAACCATCTCCCAGCCCCCTAGCATCTTAAATTATTTATCAGAGCACTATGATTAAAAAGAAAAGGCATGGTTGTTGATTTAGTGGAAAGAGAGAGTATCTTATTACATTTTTTTCATTAGGGCATGAGGTCTTGGTCTTTTGTCCAGACTGGTCTTGAGCCCTTGGCCCCAATCATCCTCATGCTTCAATCTCCTGGAGTAGCTGGGATAGAGGAACATACTGCCATGCTTAATGTAATATGTTGCTTTAATTTATCTAATTGAAAGTATATGTTAAGGTTAAATGTGTTTTACATTTCACTGACAGTTTTTTAGAGAAAAGGGAAAGCCTTTGATGGCTGGCTGCACAAGGTCTATGCAGTGACCCCGATGTCCATCCTCCCCCTTCTTCTTAGCAACAGAACAGTCAACTCCCACCGGTAGCCCCTTAAAATGCCATTTCACATGGTTTTTGTAACTAAGTGTGACTGTGTATCAACTCCAGGTGGATGAACTGTAAGGAAAGTAAAATTTTTCTTTTCTGTAACTCCAGAGAGTACTATCTCTGAAGGAGAAGGATAATGCCCTCTCCATCATTCCTGATGGCTAGTGTGCAGGTGTCACAGGTGGAGTGTAGACAGCCATTTTGAACACATTCTACAGGCTACATTCTAAAAACAGAGAAGCCAAAAACTAGAAGGAAACTGGATGCCTAAAGACTTTGCAGAAGTATTTCCCTGGATGACTGCTAACCAGATTTCAGAAGGAAAGTTTGTATTTTTAAGCCACAGTTGTATTGTTTATTTAAAAAAAATACTAACAGTACCTTTTTAAAAATTTATTCTTTGAGAATTTCATATATTACATGTGGGTAAACTTAACCTTGATTGATATAAGCATTTTCCACATCTTTTTATTTTTACTAATTTGTAAGTGCTCTTTCTAGCTAAATATACTTAATTATATATGTTTTGCCATTTGCTCTTTAATTTGGTCTATGGCATACAAAAATAATTGTTAAATATAATTACTACATAAATTCCATTATATACTTTAAAAATAAGGTAATTAAGAACACTGGCTGTTCTTGCAGAAGACCTGGGTTCGAATCCCAGCACCCACATGGCAACTAACAACTGTCCGTAACTCCAGTCCCAGGGGATCCAACAGCCTCTTCTGCCCTCCGTGGGCATTGCACAACACAGTTGCACTTACCTATACGCGGGCAATACACACATACACATAAAATAAAAATAATAAAAAATAAAAAAATATTTTAAAAAGTCATATAAGCTGGGTGTGGTGGCACACGCCTGTAGTCCTAGCACTTGGGAGGCAGAGGTGGGTGGATCTCTGTGAGTTCAAGGCCAGCCTGGTCTACATAGCAACCTTTCCCAAAAACCAAAAAAAAAAAAAAGTCGTTAAAAAAAAAAATCAGGTAGTGGCATTCATTTAGAAACCTAGCTTCCAGAGAAGGTTTTGCCTCAAGCATCATTCAGCAGTACTGAACGAAGAGCCTACCCTATCAGTATATAAGTCACTAACTATCCCGGCAGGCTAAAGTTATTCTGAAGAAAAGAATGCACCAAAGCATTCTCTGTTTGCCAAAACAGAGACTGTTCTATTTTCCATGTCTTTAGGTATCCCACTGGTTAGAAACCTAGCTTCCAGAGAAGGTTTTGCCTCAAGCATCATTCAGCAGTACTGAACGAAGAGCCTACCCTATCAGTATATAAGTCACTAACTATCCCGGCAGGCTAAAGTTATTCTGAAGAAAAGAATGCACCAAAGCATTCTCTGTTTGCCAAAACAGAGACTGTTCTATTTTCCATGTCTTTAGGTATCCCACTGGGTCTTAGTGGATGCTAAGTGCAAGCTCTGGCTATCACTTGCAACCATGTTTTGCAGGCAGTCACTCCACTCTGTCATTAAACGTCCTCTCTCCTCTCCTCTTCCACGCTAGCTCTACTCTCAAGGATTTCCACACAGAGAGACAAGAAACATAAAGCTGCAATACCCTACCAGATCATATGCAGCCAGCATCTTCTTTTGCACATCTGGAATCGCACCCAGAGGCTCTAGGTAAGGAAAGCTGTCTTTCATCACAAGAGACACTGAAGGTGAATTGTCACTGTTGATGAGACGAGAGGACAGGCTTAGCAGGCACTGCTTCAGACTGGCAATCGGAGGGAGTCCACACAGCTCCTTCACAGATACTATTGCATTCTATGAGGAGAAAACATGGAGTCACACACCCAGTCCCATGGTACAGCATTCCCTAGTTTACACTCAAGTATATTCATGAAAGCATACCCTTAGAGATGTGTACAATGCTGAGCAACCTGGGTGACAGCCAACCCAAACTGCTGTGACATGTACAAGGGTAACGCAGAGAGCTAATTCACAGCCAGGCCCTTCATCTTAGTGTTGAGCAACTGCCACAAATGTGCATCAAAAGCAAAGCAGTTTGTGACTCAAGGCTGCTCAGTGCTTTTCAACACCACACTCTAAAATCTCTACACACACTAGCAGTGCCTGTGCATTAATACCTTATTCAAATTATAACATGAGGACCAGGAAAACATCATGCCAGTGTAATAGAGGACATCTCAAGGCAGTGGGTTGTCATTGCTCAACCTGACCAACCAGCAATGGTGTTGCCTTGCCACTCCATCAGAAATATACCTCACATACACAGAAAATACACTGCATGAACAGTTATTTACTAATGTTGCAATTCTTAACAAAGCAATAATTTGAAACAGGAATTATGACTCTTACATTTTATTGTCAATGAACAGCATCTAAGCTATTGAATAGCCCATGAATTTAGTAACAATAATGATGTTTATTTTTCTACTGATTAGGCTCCAAATAATCCTTCACCCAAACTACTTTATGTTGAGATAACATAAATTATCAGCACTACCTGGAAAAGCTTTCTAAAAAGCTCTTATTTTGTGTAAGTATGTATATACGGTATGCATACATGTATGTATGTGAGTTCCCATGTGTGGACACACATGTGTGCAAGTTCACTTGCAGGTGTGTGGCATGGATATGGAGGCTGGGCTAACTTCCTAGACTGATCTTCACCTTACATAGTGAGGCAAGGTCTCTCACTGAACCTGGGACTCATGGATTCAGACAGTCTAGCTCACCAGCTCATTCTGGGGAATCCCCTAAAGTAGTCTCCTGCATAAGCTGGGAATACAGAAAGGTCATCACACCCACTCAGCTTCTAAGTGGGCTCTGGAGATCAGAACTCCTCATGCTGGCTAAGCCATTCCCATAGCAAAATACTCTTCTTAACACACATTCTAAAATATGAGTTAAGGAGGCCGGAGAGATGGCTCAGCAGTTAAGAGCACTAGTGGCTTTTGCAGAAGACCTAGGTTCAAATCCCAGTACCCACATGGCAGCTAGCAACCATTCATAAATCCAGTTCCAAAGGATTCAATGCCCTCTTCTGTTCTCTGCAGACACTGTATGATATGGGTGCACTTACATACATGCAGGCATAACACTCATATGCCTAAAACAAAAATAAACCAATAAAATTTTTTAAATGAGAAAGAAATGCTGTATTTCAAGAATTATATAGAAATACATAGAATCTACTACTAACGAAGTTAGGTATAGAAATTTCTTATAACTAATCTAATACAGAGATTTACAACAATGCTAAAATTATGTCAGAAAATGCTACATAAGATACTTGGAGCCTATTTTTAAAATAGTGACTAAGACAATCCACCTCAAGTCAAGCACATGAATTATAATGGATTTCTGCATTAGGTATTCCTGGATTTAAAGTCTAAAACTTTGCTATTTATTAACTGCAATATTTGAGAAATTACTTAACCTCTTCAAATGTATTTGCTATCTTGAAAGTAAAGGTATTTGGAGTATTATTACAAGAAAGGTTAGCTAAATGAATAAAATGAATGATATTCACTTTGCACATGGCAAGACCTTAGTGAATATTTATTGTTTGATCACTTCTTAAAAATACCATCCTTGAGCCAGGCATGGTGGCACACACCTTTAATCCCAGCACTTGGGAGGCAGAGGCAGGCAGATCTCTGTGAGTTCAAGGCCAGCCTGGTCTACATAGTGAGTTCCAGGACAGCTGGGGCTACAGGGAGACCCTGTCTCAAAAAGACCAAAAAATAAAAAAATAAAAATACTATCCTTGAATAAATATATTAAAAGTATGAAAAACAAGTTTGTAAGCATCTCTGATTATATGTCTTAATGAAAGGAAGGAAACAGAATTTCTCCATGCTAAAGCTGGGAATAGCCATACACTCTTCGTTCTCCTAACAGCTCTGTTGTGGAAGTCTTGAGACTTCCACTTTCTTATAGAGAGAAAGCTGATGTCCAGGGACCTGCAATCTTTGGTTCTGGCTCACAAAGGGATAGCTTCATCTCAGAATCCACATCTTTCAGTCAAAACACATTTCTAGGAGAAGGCTAAATCATTTCAAAATGTTTAAGTATTGAATTTTATTGATTTAGTTGTTTGTTCTTGCAGGTAATAATTTATTATTGTCATACATTTGAATAACTGAAAATAAATCTAATAGACACCACATTTGTTCTATGACTTCAAATTCTCTTCCAGATTCACATCTGCAAGTATTTTACATATATACTTGTAAACAGCATGCAATGCTTGTGTCTCTAACTTATGTATTACTCATGTGGTTTTGTGGTACATGTACATGTGTATTATATGTGTGTGGTGTCTGGTGTGTATGTACATGTGTGTCCATGTGCCTCTGCACATGGATGCCAAAGGAAGATGTTGGATGTCCTATTGCTTTACATTTCATTCCTTTAAGACAGGGTCTCATTGAGCCTGGAGCAAGGCTGGCAGCCACAAAGATGGTCCTGTATCCACTCCCTATCCAGTACTGCAGTCATATGCACGTTTAGCCTCCTGCAGCTTTTTATGTGGATGCTAGGGATTTGAACTCAGGTCCTCATGCTTGCACAGTAAGTGTTCTTACCAGCTGAGCAGTGTCCCCAGCCCCTACCCAAGTTTTATAGTTCTCTTTTTCACACTGTTCACACACATTTTCATATAGCAATCATTACGTACTAAATATATTGAGCATATATACAGTCTTTTGCTACACTGATGCTCCATTAACTGGTCAAACTTACCGTTATGGAGCACAATTCAATGGAACAATTCAATAGGTTTGCACAGTACTTCTGATCATTTCTTGCCTATCAAATCATTAGTAAACCACAATTTTCACTAAAGGATGTGAATAATAGAGGCAGTGGAGGAAGGCAGGATTGTTTCCTACCTGCATATTTTCTCTCATATCTATGGCTTCTCGTAAGGGATGGACCGCTAGTTTGAAGATATCATCTATGGTCTTAAGACCAATATTCCTGAGCATGGTGTATTCTCGAACTTTCTTCCCCATTCTCACGGAAAGGCTGCGCTTCTGCCCTTTTCCTCCTCCACTTCGATTGGTTATTGCTATGTGGACAAAAAGGGTCACATGTTCCATGACGTCACCCACAAAGGAGCGCAGGGGAACGTGCCGATACCCTGGCTGGAGACATTCGAACGGTATTGTGTACTGCCCTATGAATTCATCCCCGATATAGTCATCATCCAGAACAACAAAACGGATCATGGCCAGCTCAGGAAGGTTGACTTGAAACTCAAAGGTTTCGTCAAAAATAGGATTATCACTGTTTTGTTGTACAGTTTTAGTTCTTTGCTCGGAACAGTCAGCAGGAATTCCATGTATCTCTACACAAACATACGGGTCTATGACATCCCCTTTGGCACAAGCTCCCTTGGGTTTTGGGAAGTTCTGACCACTGATGATCTTGATGTGAAGAGTCAAGGGAGACACGCCGGGTACAACGCCCTTTGTATTTGCGCTGAAGTACGACACTTCATCTCGCATGATAGATGGCCTCAGGACATAGCCACATCCTCCATTTTGGAGAAACCAGCCGGTGTGGAGGTCCATCATTGGACCTGGAGTCTGAAAATTCATCGCCACAATCTGACAGCCGCAATTCCAGAAGTCCTGTGGATTCAAGTTACTGGAATCGATTCTCATGGCACTGGGATAGATCCTTGATAAGAACTTCTTATTATAATTTACAAAATCCTCTGGGTATTCGTTTGCAATTCGACTGGCCTCTGTTTCACTAAATGAACAAATTTCCCAATAGTTTTGGCTTTTCACAGACAGTTCAAAATCTCTGTACTGAACAGATTTACAAATGGACACCAAATCAGAGAGCTCCCGACAGAGCCAAATGTGTTTCTGTTCACCGTTGTAGTCCACTGACATCCTCCGGGACATCTCTGCCTCTTCGTCCTCATCAGTTACTTCTCCCTCTAACAGATCTGGATCTGAAGGCAGTTTCTTTCCTTTCACAATGATCATTCGTTTGAGTTTTTCGGGTGAGGGGAGGTAGGATTCCGACGACAAAGGTGCTTCTGTGTAGAGTTTATTACCCAACACCTTTTTCATCTGCTGAGCCATGACCTTTTGTTGCAATAGGGAACAGTGATTCCCCAAGCAGAGAATGAGTGGGTACTCTGAAGCAACAAAGGCAAATTTATTTATCACCTCTAGAACACTTCGAAAGGAGAGGTGTGTAGCCATGTTGTTTCTATTACAAAGGATGGGTTCATTATCTGAGCCGTCACTCACATCAAGTTCAATGCTTCGACAGCCCATTTTCAAAGCCCTCACATACCCATTGATGTCAGCCGGTCCCCTGAACTGGTCTTCTATCAGGTATGTGTTATGAGACGCATTGATATAGTAGTGAGATAAGGGCTGGGTCATATCTTGGGCAACCTTCTTTTGCTCCGGATCAAAAATGTCACATTCTGGAGACAGTAAGTACTGGGTGAAGCCATCAATTGCAAGAAACCCTTTCTGACGGCCCTCCTCAGAGAGCTCATATCTCCTAATGATGTCTAAGCACATATCTTCAGTGATGTGAGTGACCCCTTGCTCAGCCTCTAAAAAAAGCATGAGGTCATTGGCATCCAGATATTCTTTGTTTTTAGATATCTGCACAAGTAAGAAATACACTTCTGGCCTGGTACAAAGTTCACAAAAAGCTTCACAAAATTCCTCTTCTGTCACCCGGGTGGTTAATTTTTCCTTGCTCTTCTGGATTTCTTTAAACTTTAATCTGATCTTGGATTCCTTCAGGGTAGGGTTGAGTTGTTTTATTAACTCTACAGAAGTGTCTTCCAACATAATCCCGTTCCCATCAACGTCTGCAGCTTCAAACACTGTTTTCAACCACATAAACCGTGGTGTGTTCTGATTACCCTCTATAAAATCAAGGGGCTGCTTACTGCGAGAGACCAGGTACCGTAACCCGGATACCCAGATATTTGCTACATCTGCTGAATTGGCAACGAGGTCCAGAGACTCATAGTTTTCTCCATGGAGGATGGAGAAGGCACAGTCTTCACAGATCTGGTCAGCAAGGCCGTTGTTTCTAAAGGTCTCTGTGTTCTTCCCCAGTCGGATCTCTTTTATGGCAGAGATGTCAAGCTTAGCTTTCTCAAGGTCTTTCTTGGAAGGTTCCCAGCGAAGAGCCTGGAGGTCTGTGTCCAGAGTGAAGAACCGGTTGTAAATGCGAGAATTTGGCCGCACTTTCTTCAGCTCACAGCCAGCTTGCATGAAGCTGATGCAGTCGCTGGCGCTGCTGATCTTCTTTTCTGATGGCATGCTGCTGAAAGACACTGTTTTCTTTCTTCCACTGCATTTTTGGTTTGAAGGATCCTATAACATAATCAGAAAAAAATGGGTCAACCTCTTTTAGAAAACAAATTCAGTAACACTCTGGGGACTTCTCAATTCCACAGAGATAGTGTGACTGACCTGAAATTCACCTCTTCACTGTTTCAAAAGAGATTCCTGAGAAAATATTATTTGCCTCCAAAAGACACGTATTTTACAAATGCCTGTGTATTCTTTGAATTAAGGTAAGTACTAAGTACAAAGCACCTTTATTTGCTCATTTGAAGTCATGCTATACAGCACTTTTTAGGAACCTCTCCCAATAGGACATCAAATTTCATCCATTCAGACTATGTTCAGCAGGGCAAACATGTCCTATGACTGTTTCCCTTCTTGAGTATATGGAAGCCTTCTCCCCTATCATCCCTTCTAAATACAGGTCCAGTCATGAATATTCATAAATCCAAGATAATGAATTAAACCTTTGTTTTGGACTGCCTATTGTAGCTGTCACTGTCAATTCATTTACAATGAGCATCTGACCCCTGCGAAGTAAAACTGGCTATTTTTTCATGCCTTTTTCATTCTGGGCCATATACTCAGTTTAATAAAGTTCCTAATCACATTATCAGTTCAAAATATTCTCATAGGAACATATTTCTAAAAAGCACATTTAGTACAATCTCATAAGCATACCAAGGATTCAAAGACAAGTACAGTTCAAAGGGCATTTCCTCAGGGCAAAAATTAGAGTTGCTTTATTCTATTCACCAGATGTATGACCTGGGCTAAATCACATCACCTCTCTGAAACTTAATTTCTACTTTTCAAATAGGAATTAATAACCTTTGTATATTATTCTGTGTTATCAAGACACCCAAAAGAGAAAAATTCATGACTACTTTTTTGCTTATAAAAGTGATTCCTCTAGAAGGAAGAGGACTGTCTTCATTCCCTTGTCTCTATAGGACTATCCACAGGCATCACGCTTTACTTCTGAATAATTAAGACATTCAGCACTAAGTTGAAAATATTTTAAATAGGCAAATGATAGTATTTCCCTCACTGAAATTATAAACAAATTAATCAGAGCTATCTCATCCCTTTTTTAAAGATTTTTGTTTTTAATTGTGTGTATATGTGGGGGTACACATGAGTGCAAGTGCCTGCAGAAGCCAGCAGCATCAGAAGCCCCAGGAGCCGGAGTTAAAGGCAGTTGTGAGTCACCTGATATGGTTGCTGGGAATTGAACTCGGCATTATCTGCTCTGAACAGCTGAACCATAGCTCCATCCCCCCGTCATTCTTTAAAAAAAGAAGTAGAATCTGTCCTCTGGGGTAGGGACACCATCTAATCTGTCCAACCCATGCAAGCCTATCTATGGTATGATTCAACCAGGGCAGGGTGATTTATTATTCAATTGACTAAAACTCTGCAAGCAAAAAGAAAACATAGTTTGCTTTAGTTATGGTATGCTGTGGGATGAGTCATTGATTCAACTATGCATCAGATCTTCAAGTGACAAAGATATAAATTACCCAATCTAGATTACAGAATGCTGCCTTCGTGGCACCCTGGCATTTGACAACTTAACTCCTGCTTTCCCAGAGAGTTGCCATTTTTAATTATCCCATAGTGGTCAATTTCCTCTAAGTTGAAAAACAACTATAAATCTTCAGCTGTTTAAATGCATATGCTCCACTAGAACACATTTAAATTCATCACAGCCCAGTAATATCAGATTGTGTGTGTTTTTTGCCACATCAAAGCAGGCACCTAATGGCACTGCTGAATGGGATTACTCCACCACATAAAATAAAGAGGGAAACTGTGAATTGTGGTGGTAAATTAGACTGTGACTCAGATCTTCAAGATAATCACTTGACTTATGTTTCATACTAATGAGAGCTTTGACATTAAAAATATTTTATATGAGAAGATCATGTTCCAAATAGAATTATTGTCAGCAGAGTCATAAAACCTCCAACAGTTCCCAGTGAAATGAAAATGGGGAATCAGTGTTCCCCTAAACGCATGTTTGGCTCCCTGGTTCTGCGTGTGAAGCTGCAGTAGCCTTCTCTATGGTCTAACATTCTGCTCCTGACTCAAGGCATTGCTTATCTATGAGAACAAACTGCCATTGTCAGAACAGCTTTCTCATATAAGCCTCTCTTCTTTGTAATGATATCTCCTTAACTTGTCTTTGCCCCTAGTAAGATGAGTTTCCAAGAGATAAATGTTTTCCATCAAGCCTTCGAAAGAATCCATCAGCTCACAACACCTTGAGTTGCGATTCCTGTGTGATTATAAAACATATCCCTAAATGCCTTTAAACGTGGAATCAGTGAAAAAGATGTGATTCTCAAGTTGTCATCTCACAAAGGACAAAATCCAGTTATTATAAGCCCCCAAAGGAGCTGAAAACTGGCCATGCATGTGTGAATAAGTAATTAGTGTATCTGTTGATGTCTAGAGCCAAGATTATTTCTTTTAAAATATGCTGGAAAATGTTCAGGACACTGATATTTTTCTAGTTCTACAATAGAAGAAGAAAATGGCTGGCCACTGACAGCAATATCACACTGTTCTTGCAGTGCTCATGCTACGCACGGCTTGGGCAGGCAGGGAGGAAACAAAGGGAAAATGTCTTGGTGAGCAGAGAAGAGGGAGACTCAAGTCTCCTTTAGAACCACTTCACTCCCATGTCCTCCTGGACAGTGCCCTACCCTCCCCCCCCTACTCCCATTGGCTATAAAAAGACCGTGGCATATTGGTACTGGGGAAGGGAACCTGTTAAGGTAAACACACTGAAAAGCATTGAAGTGTTGGCTACAGGGCTTCCTTGTTGATGGATATATTATCAGTTATTATGGAATGAGTGCATCTACTGCAGTTATCTATATATTGGAAAAACAGGTCCTGTAGGCACCTGGGCACAAGAAAAGGTCTCAGTTCAGGTGTGCCCTTTCCAGCTGCCACCTAATTAAATAAAGTAATTGATTCTAATGGTCCAAAGTATATCTGGGAGATTGTTATAAAGCAGGAGAATTTTTCCTTTTCCCCAAAGCTAACTTTGTCACTCTAAATGTAGAAAAGAGGCTGAAGAATCTGACCCTTCCTGACTCCTTCCCTCTGGTTTCTCTCCAGCACAACACAACCAGAAACACTCAAGTCTACCAGAATGAATAGCACATTGGGATGCCTTTGTCCTGCAAATGAAAGGCTGGCCTCAAAATCCAAGTAAATACAAGCAAGAATTAGGCAGTAAGTACAATCCTTTTTATTTCCTATAATTCTAGTTTAAGTTTCCAAGTGATCATTTTCCATGAAGCAATCACATCTAAACAAGTTAAATGATGCACAAATAGGCCAGATTGGGTTTGTATGTTTCTGGAACATGTTTTAGAGTTAGTCTTTGTAAACGAAACCAACACTTTATAAAGGATTTACTCATCAGCATCAAGAAGCCTCTCAAATTATCATAGCAAGAATAAATATGTTACTCTCTTGATAAAAGAACGCATCAATTTAACTGCACTGGTCACAGTATGTTCCCTTCATAAAGAAAACTGTATCATTATTTCATCTAGAAATCATTTTTAAATGCTAGGTAACAATAGTGAGACAATGTTTTAATTGTTTTTCATTGTTTTCTACGTTGTTTTTTATCCATGGTAAGGAAAAGGAAATCAATTATGATTACATGAAAATCCTTCTTATACAATAGTAAAAGATTTACAGCTCTTTAAACATACTTCATTAAATTAGAACTGGGAACAGAGTAGGAGGGAGATCGCATACACCAAATTAATACAACTGCTCTGTAAGTTCCCATTGCCATTTGCACTCTGTTTTCCATCTAACAACATTAATATGCTACCCGTTCTTTAACAAAACATGATACAGAGAATAATTTTTTTCAAAATACAGTGAAAAGTCCCAAAGAAAAACTTTATTTGGTAAAACACAATTTTGAGTCTTGTTCATGAAAACATTAGTTTGATGTAATTTTAGACAAAAAGTATGCTGATACCACAGAAAATGTGAATTTACTTAACTTCATATAATTGTACACTTACAATAATAAAATGGCAGCATTTAGGTTATGTGTATTTTAATATAAAACTATGTTGAAGGATTAAACAAAAATTAAAAGTGAGTAAAGAAAATATGATATCCAAGCATCCAAGTATCTTCTGATCAAATTATGCATCACATACTCTTTTTTGGCAGGTTAAAGTAATTTAGATAATTATGTGTTAAAACAGAACAAATTTAGAAAACCTTAATGGACAGATATCAAAACTGCTGTCAAACTATGATTAGAAGGAATCTCCGTTCCATGTAGAAAGTAAGCTAAGTAAATCTTGTGCAGTAGGGAACACTGTCCTTTAGTTTAAGAATGGGGAAGAACACTGAAGAGCTCTCCCAAGAATGTCTCAGTGTAAATATAATAGGCTAACCCTAAAATACAAACAGGAGCATAGTACATGAACCTTATTTTCATCATCAGGGTTCCATCTGTGCTTACAGACAACCTACAAACTGCAACGCAATACCAGTAGTATTAATTCTGGTTTAGCCATATTTGAAAGCCTAAGATAGCTGGAATAGCAAAAGTAGTCACATGCTATCACTTCCATGTTTGAGATAAGAAGTTTTTCCATTCTCTAGACCCTGATTTTCACAGACCAAAAAGGCTTTGGGTTGAAATTTTATTTTGTCAGATTTTACCGAAGTTTTATATATTTTATACAGAATATCTTAATCATCTTTATACCCTCTTCCTCATTTGCACCCTCCCGTAGCCTGCCCCTCCACAGGAATTCATGCATTCTGTCTATTGAGTCAAGTTAGTATTCCCCTGACATCCTCAGTGCAAATTCATTCACTGTGGTCTGGTCAGCCTATCTAGAGTCCCTCCCTTTTAGAAGATCAGCTCTTCCTCACTCAGCAGTCATCAGCTGCCCAATAAGTCTTTGGGTAAGATTGGGGCCTGCTGCCCATTTCCACAGTTCTCTGATGGTTTTTGTCTGCTTGAG